GTATTTCTTTGTAATGTTTTCTATTCTGGAATATAAAGCAATAGAGCAATAGTGCAAGCAGACCTCCAGCAGTCTGTGTTTGTAGCATGGCCTTCAGTTACGGTGCAGTCCAGTGGAAGTTCTCTGGTTCAGGGTGGAACTGAACCGAAAATAAAAACAAAGGGAGATACTGGATATCTGCAAGTTGTTCATTATGTACTTCCCTGTTACGTTACACAGAGGAGAGCATTTGTTGTCTTCATGTCCTCACCTGTTTTAATTGTTCTCTTTTTGTCCCATATTAACTTCTGGCGCTAATTCTGAACACTGTTCTTTATGTAATCCCTTTCTGACAATTTACAGTTTGATCAAGGTTTTTTAATGTTTAATGCTTTCCAGGTTTATATGGTGAAATAGTAGCTTTTTCATGCCTAAGGTAATCTGCAATAATTTTGAGGGGTTCCTCAAAGGGCACATGTATGCACAGGTGCATATGTACACAAAATAGATTGTTATAATAGTAGTATCTCTACCACTGATCACTTGAAAAGGATAAAATTATCACTGTCTGATACCACCTAGTAAACATGTAGGTGTTCGGTTGTTTTGCAATTACCTTTGTCCTTTGTTTACTCAACACTCGTCATGGTGATTTCATAACAGAGACTACAAACAAACCTAAAGCTCTCAGTACAGTAAATGCTGCCTTTAAATGCTTTTTTCTTTGCTCATTTTAAGAGAGTTTTAAGCTTTGAAGTTACCCGTCACTCGTGGTGTGTTCTTTTCTCATAATTTTCTTCAGTCAGACCAGAACTAAATGGAAATTGATGGGATTCTTTTGATCAGATGTAGGCAAAGTTAATTAAATACCAGTGTTTCTATGGCCAAGCCACTTCTTTGGGCTGGTAAAATGCTACAGCATTGTCATAAATTCTTCTCAATCTGCCTGTCACTCATCGCTTAGGAAAGTGCTGAGAGAAATAACAAACAAATCTGTGAAATGTTAAAGGAAGGGGAAACGCATGTTAAATCTTTTCTTTCTTGGTCCTTCTCAGCCTCTTGCAGCTGCTAGCCCACATGAGTTTTTAAGGATGCTGTTACTCTTCAAGGCATAATTTCTCACAGAAGAACTCAGTTACAAGAAGGGAATTGCTCCCATTCCACGCTCCATGCCCTCCTGGAGAAAATAAACTTAAAATCCATCCAGCTGCCTCTCAGAACAAGTCTTTCATTAGGATATTAATCCAGAAAGTCAGGAATTTAATGTTTGCCATACCGAGTGGTGCAGAGCCTGTCAAATGGCCCGTGTGTTTGTTCAGTGTTAGGACTGGTCTGTGTGGGAGTCATCACCCAGGCTTTGATTGCCCATTTATGTAACTTCTCTGCAGTCTGGTGTTTGAAAGGGGGGGGGGAAAACCCAGAATCCCTTCCCAAAATAGAAAAGAAATACAATCACAAGCTGTTTCCTTCCTCTGTTTAGCATAACTGGTTTTAAAGTCTGGGCCTAAGGTGATTGTGGTGGTAGTTATCTCAGAGGCTGCAAAGCTTGCCTGTAATTAAGGAAGGAGAGGAGGGGAAATTCTGTGACCAAGTGTGTGTGTGTGTGTTTACTTCTGTCAAATCTGCAGTAAAAGGAGCAGGGTGGATCATACACAGAGCAGTCAAGACTTACTTAGCAACGACAGCAAGCGAAGACTGTTTTGTGCTCCTCCGCAGCACAGAAGGCCCCGCAGACTTTACGCTGTTGACGTTTATGGGTAGGATTTAATTAGAAATGAGAACAATTCCAAGAAGTAAAAAGGTGTAAGAGGATACAAAGAGCCAGATATTAAAGGGAAGTTCTTTTTAAGTATCTTGATTTTTTTGGTGTGCCCTTCCCTTTGCCTTACAGTTGGGCTGTAAACCATCTTAATTTGCTTGCTTAAGTATCATCGCACCAAGAATAGATCAGCTACTGCAGGAGGAGGTATTCCCTGTCTTCTGGGACAAGTGTGGATCCAGCCCTGGCTCTCCATCTTCCACGGGTGCACAGGAGATGCCCTGTTCTGTCTGACTACATACTGTTAGGAACCAAAATTTGACTGAACAGTAATTCCTGTTTATTTCAGGAGGGAAAAACTCCTGCAAGCCAAATTACATTTTTCTATATCAATCACATTGTAAGTTGAATGGCGATTTCCTGTTCTTATGAACTGCTGACAGTCCAGGTGTCCAAAGAAGCTCCAGCTCTCATCGTATGAGAACATAGATGCCATCAGGAGACTGGCTTGCAAATTAGTTTAGAAATGTTCTCTTCCTCCCGTTCCATCAATAACTTAAACCCAGCCTGGACATGGAAGTTACAATCTATGCAGATGATTGTCTTCTGGTATCCAGCATTTTCTAACATTTTTAAACAATTTAAACACTTGAACATTTAATGCATTGCTGGCATTTTGTAAAAATGTTTTTGAAGAGACTATTGAAGTTGCTTGTCTCAGAAGTACACGCCAGGAATTTCACCTCACTGTTCACTCTTGGGATACCGATTAAATAGATCAGAGTAATTCCCAGCATAAGAAAATCAAACTAAACCAGAATGATGTGGGAAAGTAAATTGGAGGTGAGCGAGTTCGTAGCAATATTTTCTTTAGACTTCTAAATAACCTTATATGAGAGCTCTTTAAGAAATTCTGTATATAGAATTCTGTGCTGTATTTTGCCATTCTTTTAAAGTATGCACATTTTATCACCAACAGAAAGCATACGTACACCAAGTGTGGTATAGATAAACCTTGCAGGTTTTATCACAGCCGGTCATTTTCAAGGTTTTTATCATGATCCAGTATAGTAACACTATAAAATCAGTGTTGTGGGCATTTCAAGAATTTGTGAAGTGCTCATGGATACATTCAGATGTGATACTCACCCCTGTACTGCCATCCCGCTTGGGTTATGCTGCAGTAAGAAGTACTGCTAGAGCCTTTTCATTATTCCAGCCAGCTCCCTCTCAGACCATTGTCATAAATCTTTGCAGCTTAGCTGCACTTTCTGAAAAAAAAAAAAAAAAACCAAAAAAAAAAACCCAAGGACTCATAAATCAAAACTGAGACTCGGAATCCTCAGTAATTTCTACATTTCTGAGGGGCTGAACTCATGGAAAACCATTTTCAGCCCACCTGTTTAGTTTAAATGCTGAAGTCGGTTTGTGCGTTGGGATTGATGCTTTTGCAGATCTTTTCTCAGCGTATGTATTTCTTAATTTTCAGCTTTTAAGCGTAACTTTTCATGTCATGTTTAACTGCTGGAAGGAGGGTTTGATTTTTCACATCTGCTTGGAATCTTTGAGGTCTATTGAGAGCGCTGGACTTGAGGCAAGCTCGGCGGGAGGGGTTTTCTGACGGTCTTACAGAATCCTTAGAGAGCCAAAAACCTTGAGACATGGGAACATGGCTCTAGCTGCAGGCACATGAACCAAGTCTGAATTCATCAGAAAAGCTGAATCACTGGATGAGTAACTGTCCGTAACAATCACATCACATAGCATCATGTGTGTTTACCAGGCAGAGCTGTAAAAGCTTTGAGGAAGGGACTTTCTGACTACATTAAGCTTTAGGGTTTTTGACTGAATCTACCTCTATGTTTGAAATGTAAGAAAAGTCTCTATGGGTTTTGCAGCACATCGAAGATTCTTGTTGTTTGTGTTTGGAAAAGAATGTGTGACTAGTTAAGAGTAGTAGTATCTGGATTTAAAACCAAGTACAAGGTAACCTGATCTACTTTGATACAACATAATGCTCCAAATACTTGCATTGTAGATTTCCAGTTTCTTAACAGTTTTCATTCTTCATCTTGTCACTTCTGATTAATTGAAACAGAATTTTGCTCCAGGTCTAACATTAAATCCACTGAAAGCCTGAAGCTCTGTATGCTGAGCTGGTACTGTTGGCAAGATGAACGATAAAACATGTTGCACATAAATTCAGTACTAGAAAAATTAGGGGGGAAAAAACCCCAAGAAATTATAACTGTTAGGTTTTTTAACATATCTGTAATGCGACACATCCTGTGCTTTGTTACATCCACAATTGGTGCTTACCTAAATAAAGGTGTTCATTATTTATATCGAACAGAAAGATGGAGCTAAAAAGACAAGCTGTAACTAACTTCGTGAAATGGTTAGTTGGTAAATAAATGTCTGTGCTGCTGACCTTTGTTATGAAGCAGTAAAAATGTGTCTATCACAGGGGAGCACAAAACTCCCTTGTGGTTAAATCTGTCCCTTGAAGTGGAGGTAGTTCTGTGATTGTTTTCCAATAGCTAAAATAGCTTCAGAGCAGCAGCTGAGCACTCACAGACCTTTACTACTAGCACCAGAACAGAAAAGAACCTTGCACAAAGGTGTGGGGAAGGGTTCATGTTGCAATTCTTAGTATGTAAAAATACAGCTGAAAGATGCAGTGTTGGGGGGGCTTTAACTGGTTGTTTATGCATTTTCTGTTTAGACATAAATGCAGTATTTCAGTCTATTCTAGTTTGAGACATTTTAAACGTAAGAACACATTTGTGTTTATTATGCTTTACTTGGTTAATAATATTGACTACAGAGGGAGGTTGGCTCTTCCAGTGTACAGTTAATGTGTTTGAAATTAAAGTAAGCCTTCCTGATGGTCTCTCAGCAGTTACTCAAAAAGATAAAGGCAAACCACAGCTTACTTGCCAATATTTCTAACTAAAACTAAAAACATAAATGGAGCTTGGATTTTATTTTTTTTTGCTGTGAGAGAACAGAAATTATGACTTAGTTTTTTATTACATGAAATAGAATTATTGTTTGCTAGCAAACACGATAGTTCTTTATTCTGGTGAACTGTTTCTTATTTCACTCCTTCCATTACCACTCTGTTTTTACATACGATGAGAATGTTTAAATAGAATACAAACTGCACTTTGCTGGTTATTTTTGTGTGCTGTTTAGTGCACATCTGAAGAAACATGGTGATAGGTTTTTTTTCTTTCTTTTTTTTTTTTTATGTTTTAAGGCTCCTGCTAAGAGAGATCCAACTCAAAGTACCGTCAAAGAAGACAAAGTCCATCTGTTGAAGTATAATATAGGAGATCTAGTGTGGTCAAAAGTGTCTGGTTTTCCATGGTGGCCATGTATGGTTTCTGCTGATCCTGTTCTCCATGCCTACACTAAACTAAAAGGTATGTCAGTGATGCTGCAAACATCCCGATTTCTTCAGGTATACATAACCATTGTTTTGGGAAAATGCTGTTCTTTATTTTACCTATTCAGTTGTAATCAGTAGCTGAATCACCTCCTTGTTGTCAAGAGGAATGTTATAATCATATAAACACTATTCTTGAGCATATAGCAGACAGAGCTTTTTTCCTGCTGTGTCTTTTTAACTGGGAACATTCTCTGACAGATACCAAAATTGTGATCTATGAAACTGTGTGAAGTCTTATTAAGAAGTTATCTGATGGAACTTTCCATTGTTTTCATGGAGATGCTTGGAGATGTGATATGGGCTAAAAATTTTATTGAAAGCTAATGGGAATTAAATACTCCTGACGATTATGCTTTATTACAAGCAACCCATAACTCAGGCAGCTAAATTTTCTGTTGTTTGTAAAATCAGTACTGTAACCTACAGGAAAAAATTGGTTTATTCTAAATACAGTGACTATCAAGTATTAGCAAGTGTTTTGAGTAGGAAGCTGTATGATTTCATCATGTTGTTTGCAGCTTTGGTCTCTGTTCTGATACCTGAAACTTTTGAGGTTGTAGGATGATAAAGTAGCAGAAGTCAGAAAGGACCTTTACAAGTTCTATGGTTTCCAAGTTAGAGACAGGTTGCTGAGGGCCTTGTACAGTCAAATACTTAGTATCTTCAGGGATGGTGACTTTACAGCTTTTCTTGGCAAATGGTTCCAGTGATTGGCAGCCATTATGGCAAGAAGACCTTTTCCTTTATCTAGTTGAAATTTCCTTTCAACCTGTGTCCATTGCTTTTTGTACCAGCTCTGTGTGAATCAGATTGATTAGGCACAATTTCCCTTTGGTGAGCCTGCGCTGGCTATTCCCAAACACCTTCTTGTCTTCCATGTGCTTGGACATGTCTTCTAGGAGAATTTGCCACCTAATCTTGTAGTCACTGAGAGTAAGCTAGGCAACCTAGCTTGTAGTTCCCCAGTTTGTTGCTGTTTTTCTTGAAGATAGATGTGATGTTTGGAGTGTTTGCCTATTTCCAGTCACTGGGTTTCCCCCCAAATGGCTGTGACCTTTCAAAAATAATAGAGATCACCCTTGCAATCACACTGGCCAACACCTTCAGCTCCTTCTGAAGCATCTGGTCCATAATCTTAGAGATGTCCAATCTGATCAAGTGCTCTCTGACTTTTTCTTAATATGCTGTGGGTAGTGTGTGATTCCTGCAGCCTTTATCACTAGACTGAGGGACCAGAAGGCTTTGGGACAGATGTTAGTTTAAAAAACAAGCAAAACCCTGAGACAGAGTAGGTGTGGAGTCCCCCAGCCTCTGTCCTTTGTCACTTAGTCTCCTGCCCCCGTGAGCATTCCTTAGCCTTCCTTTTGCTACTGTTGTATTTACAGCAAATCTTCTTGCTGCAGCTTGCATCCCTCACTAGTTTTAACTCCAGCTGAGGACTGTAAACTATTTTTTACTATGTTTATGCCAAATTGTACTGGAAGTTTAGAAAACCTGAAAATGGAATCCAGAAAATTTTCAAGTTAAGGAGAAAAGCAAGAGGTTAATAGGAATATCAAACCGAAATAGGAGCACATAACTTTGATACTTATGCTTCTAAATGAGTTCATGTATTTTATTAAAACAAGCAAAAGTATCAGCTTCCATTGTTATGAACAGAGCAGGGCATTTACTTGTCACTAGAGATTTCAGTAACTTTGAAATATGTATTTCCAAGTGTGGGAAAGCAGTGTTTTTGTGGTTTAGTTTTTAAAAAATCTAGTTTTCCAGGGTGGTATTGAGAACTTGGAAAATGGACTAGAATATACATCGAAAATTTGCATTGGAATTACAGATTTCCAGGGTGAAGGGAGGAGTCTAAGCATGTAGGATTGGAAATCTGAATCATCCTGACACATGGGAGGTGTAGCCTGAAAAACAAACCCCTCAGTTCAGTAGGAACAGGGGTTGGGTTTTTATAGTGGTTGGTGATCACGCTGGGAAATGAGTGGAAAGCTGCATTTTCACAGAGAGGAATCAATCAGAATAACCTATTGTAGTTTTCTCTGCAGAAAGACCAAAATCACACTGACGTAAGTTAATAGTGCTACTTGAAAAGCATGAATTAAATCCTTTGCTTACCAGTGGTAGCATGGCCTCAATGGGAGCATTTGGTTTTTTTAATTCCTGTTTGGGCCATCTAATTTAAAGAAACGTGGACCAAACAGGAAGTTCTGAGGACAGCATGAGTAGACATATAGGAGACTGCCTGTCTGCTCAGGCAGACCGAAGGAGCTGGGGTTGTTTAATCTGACAAGGAGGAGCTAAAGGAGGACCCAGTAACTGGCCTTTTAAATAACTTAAGCTAGATGCAAAGAAGAAAAGGCATAAACTCTTCTTGTTCTGGGAAGAAGAGAGCTTGGTAGCAATGAATATTTAGACTATATATTAAGAACTTGGAAGGGATAAAATAGTGAAGCATGGGAGTTGATTGCCTGGAGAAATGGTGTGGTCTCATTCATAGGTTTTTCAGAGCAGATTGAATGAGGATCTCTAGTACTATAGCTAGATTCAGTGTTAGTAGTAAATTAAATGACTTCTTGAGAACACTTTCAAGCTTTCATACAGTTGTTGCAATGGTTCTTATAAACTCCACGGGCAAATTTTTCATGTAGCAGTCTTTCAGAGTTTTGATCAGGCAGTCCCTGTGATTTTAGCCGTTGGATTATTAGGTCTATTATGACATAATAGATCTAATATTACTTTGAGAGAAATAAAGCTATTTATTTGTTCCTAACTGAATTACTCTGCCCCTTGAAAGGAGCAAGGTTTATGCTTCATTATCAAGAGTCTCTGTGGTAGATTTTTCTAAGAAACTATAGAAATCAATCTAGCGAAACCCCAGTGTCGTATGTCTGAATGCAACCTGCAGAGTACTAACAGAAAGAAGGTTGTATGCCTGTGCCTTACTACAGCGAGACAGCGTTCCTCTTTACAATGCTAGAAGAATGACTGTTTCTTGCCTAGGTTTCAGAATTGTTCTCTTACCTTCCCACTTGCCCTTCCCTCTCTTCCACCATGCAAATCCTTTTCATTTGTTGCTTTGATTCCTTAAAAGCTTGGTTAAGATGAAGTTGTGATTTCAGATGTTAAAACTAGCTGAAGTGTGTATTTCTGCTTAAGGATATTGTAAAGTTTAGGTAAGTCAGAGATGAGGCTGAGTGCACCAGCTGTCCAAGCTTTGGAAACTCAAATGTAACATTTTCAGAAACATCCAGGCCTGCTTGTAAGTTAAAAGCACTGACAGACAGTTTTAACCTTCAGTTAATTTACTAAAGCATATTGTTTTTTGGAGTTAAACTATTGGGCTTTTGTGTCCAAGTCCATAGATTACAGCTCAGAGAGCTTCAAGCCGGTTAAGTGGGTTTTTGAAAGGTTAACCAGTTGTACTGTGGTTTTGTCATGGTAACTATAGCAGCTTACAAAAGACTTTAAGTCTGAAAGTGCCGAGAACAACCCAAGTTGTATCTTAAATACACTCGTTTTTAATTTTCAGGACAGAAAAAGAGTTTTCGTCAATATCATGTTCAGTTTTTTGGAGATGCCCCAGAGCGAGCCTGGATATTTGAGAAGAGCCTTGTGCCCTTTAAAGAAAAAGACCAGTTTGAACAATTATGCCATGAAAGTGCAAAACAAGCCCTCACTAAAGCAGAGAAAATAAAGGTAAGAAGCTACCAAGTCAGACAAGACTTGCTACTTTTTATTTTACTGTTAGAGATATATACAGCTATAAATTGATGTTCTAGAGAGCTTTAAAGACAGCTTGTTTTACAGAGGCCTGTAGTTTTATACTTCACTTAGAGATGTAAAGAATGGAATGATTTGCCACTGTTTATTACTTACAAAAAAATCAGTTACTCTTCTGCTTTGTCATTGATTCATGCATGGTACCAGTACTATCACATACAATTCCATTTTAATGTCTGAATGATAATTATACATTACACTTAGTCTCTTAGGATTGTTTTTTGTTACTCTTGACATTTGCCATCAGAAGTGGGCAAATTTCTCACACTGCCATCTTACCTTGCAGATGTTAAAGCCTGTTTCAGGGAAACTGCGGCCACAGTGGGAGATGGGTGTTAAGCAAGCAAGTGAAGCAGTAGGCATGACAGTGGAAGAACGGAAGGCCAAGTACACCTTCATCTATGTTAGGGACAGACCTCATCTGAATCCTCGAGTGGCAAAGGAAGTTGGCGTTGCTGTGGAACCCCTGGAGGAGGTAGATGAGTCGTCTTACTCGAACGAAGAAACCACTCAAAATCTGAAATCCATGAAGGAGTCTGGCATTCCTAACAAGAGGAGGAGAAGGACATCAAAATTGTCAACCACTGATGATATGGAAGAAAGCACTCAGTCAGGGACTAAGGATACGACTCCTCAAAAGTCATCCGAACAGGCAGAATCCAAAAGAGGGATAGGCTCCCCTCTCAGTAGAAAGAAAACTCCAGCATCTACTCCACGAAGCAGAAAGGGCGATGCAGTATCTCAGTTTTTGGTCTTTTGTCAGAAGCACAGAGATGAGGTTAGTCTCGTTTCACCGTTATTGTTGTTGATTGCCTCTTCTCATTTCTTTATTTAAAGAATTTTCTTTAGTTGACAAAAAATAGTTACTACTGTAGAATACATAATATTCCAGCTTTGACTAGATAAGCCTGCATCAAATCTTTGTACAGGAACAGAGAAAGAAGGGAATGTAGATGAGCATTATAAACAAGATAGTAATAATGCCATTGTACTTGAATCATAAGTCATATTAATATCTTCCCACATAATCTTATAGCCCTTTGTATTAGCCATAAATATTTTTAATGTAAGTAAAATGTATAGCTATGCTTACATACACTTAGGCAAATACAACAAAGATTGTGCTGTTTATAGCAATCTGTTTGTGGTTAGCTTATACATTCTTTCTGAAGATGTGGCTCACTTCCTTTGGTGCATTCCCTTGTCTCTGAGCTCCTCAAACTCCATTTACCTACCTAGAATCTTTTGCTGAGCTTCAAAAGAATCTAGTTACCAAAGCTTGTGAAAATCACTGTCAGTGTGCAATCTGCTGGGACAGAAATGAGGTCCTCTTGAGAGGATTGCACTTGAAGACAAGGTAGAATAAATACATACCTTAATATCAGTGTTTCTATGTTGTATGGAAGTCAGTTGGATGTCATTCAATTTAGGATCTTTTTAGATCATTGCAACTTAAGCTAATATAGAGAAAGAAAATAAACACGTGTTACACAGTGTTACATACACCTTTTGGTGGCTTGGGTTAAATTGAGAGAAGCATTTGCAGTTCGGTTTGCTGGCTTCAGAAAGGAAAGAGGTTTGTAGCCAGACTGTTAAGTGCAGATTTTGACATAGTCATTATGAAAAACTGCATGGGTAAATCATCTATTTCACGTTTGAGAGACCTGAATTCTATTTCCAGTTCTTCTATAAGTAACCTTCTTCTATAAGTAACCTCTCATATGATGGCAAAAGGGAATTTCCTTGGCCTTTAATGTAGGTAGCAAGAAGTCTTGTGCAATATTGAGGGACATGAAATTATTTTACTGGAAGAAATTAGATTGTTATGACTGGTTTTATGGACTCTTAGCCAGACATCTTACCGCAGAAGAGACGTGCTGAGTCTCTGATGTTGTATTTCTATTTTCTGTGCCATTTATCAAGCTTGACTCCCTACTACAGTTATACTGTAATTCTCAAATTAATAGATGGAAAATATGAAGATGATTACAGTATTTGACATTGAGGAATTGCTTTGTCTTCAGTGTCATTACGGGAAGCTGAAAAACTTGTATGAACTTGAAAATCTTGGTGATGATAGTGGTTAATGTTACACAGAGTTCAGTAGAAGGAAGCAAGTTTCAAAATACTATGTGTTTTGTATATAAAATATACATACAAATCATCCTGACATTTCTGCATAAAATACCTACTAATAAGATCAGTCACAAAAACCCAAAGCCACCTGATTGTGTGATGCATTTTAATGGGTACAGAAGCACTTCTGCATGTAGAACAGAACTAGTTTGTGAAAGCTGCAGATATCAGGTGACTGCACATAACTCCCTCTAACCCATCAGGGCAGCAGAACTTGTCTTTCATTTCTCTTGATTTGAAGTTAACTGGCAAAGTGGGAAATACCATATTAGATATGCATACTTCTTGCAGAGAACTTGTTACCTGTGTACACTTCCAGCCTGTCATGTTGCTTTTAAAGTGACAGTTTTGTGCCTTTGGTGGAAGTTGGAGATTGTATCTTAACTAGTCTTCGGAGTTTCCCCTTCCATTAGGCTTACCTAGTTCAACTTGCATGATGTGCTTTCCATTCAAGACTGTTTTTTCACTGTTGTAGGTGTTCTTATGCTGTGGAAGGAGTGGAAATGTTGGCTAAAAACCAGACCTGTTTTTGAGCTACTTGTATTGGTGGCATCTAAGAGTTTAGTGTATAGCTCCGTTAGTATTTGCATGTAGAAACTTAGAAGAAGGGAAAATTACGGATTCAGAAGAGGCTTTCTGGCCCCAGACTTGGGAAGGGATAGAAGTGAATGGAAAGGAATGATTGAAGACTTCTCTTCTGGGGTCTCTGATAATTACAAGCTCTCTTAGAGGTAGAGCGTTTCTGCTGTGTCTTGCTTAGAGTCTGACTTTGTATGGTGGTAGGATTCATATATGAGTTTGATTTTACTGATTGCTGGTTTTGTGTTGCTTTTTCTGGGGACAGGAGGGTGAGGAATAGTTGAAATTTTTAGAAATGAATGATGGGTGTTGGATGAACTGCTGGAAAATGTTTTTGATGATTTAAGAGGCATGATTTCCTAAGGGAAGCATTGAAAGCTTGGAGCGCTTTCATGGTTGTAGTGACACATAGAAGTATTTTGTACTGTTACCACAGGAATAAAGATATATTTTGTAATATTGGCATTCTTACGCACTTCCTCTGTGAAATATAACCATAGTAGTCATTAGAAAGGAATGTCTGACTTGAGATAAAGGTATATCATTCAGTGAGAGGCAGACAGCTATATTCTTTATATTAATTCATTGATTTGGGCCTTGAGTCTGTTTTGAGGTAAATCAAAAGTTATTTCACTGGTAGGGCTTACAGTTGAAGGTTTCTGCATGTGTAAGGAGTTGTTGAACATAAAGACAAGTAAGACTGAAGTAAATATGCTTTGCTTGATGAGCTAGGATGTGCCTGGTCTACTTGCCGTGTTTTCCACGCCTATTCCATCTTTGATTGATGCTAATTCCCAGGTCCAAGAAAAGATCTTCCATGTGTTCTGTAGCATAGTTAAGCTTAGAAATAAATACCTGGAAGAAGTGCATGGTTTTCATGTACATCAAGATACATGATAAATCATTTCCAGTATGCATGGTGGGATTGAGTATTACTATATGAAGAGTTCAGTGATGACTGATGAGCATTTTCCTTGGAGGCCTTCTTTGCAAGGATCCCTTCACCATTAAGAACCATGAGTGTATTTTGCTTGTCATTCCACAGCCAGTTGAAAGTTGGTTTTATTTGTATTTTGGTGGGACTGAAGGTGATGTTACACCATATCTCATTTGCGTGAATAAAGCTGGTTATTTCTTAGAGAAATAAATAACTCTGTGCACTAGTTGAGCACAACTCTCTTAGCAGCAATGGTCAAAATTGATGCTGATTCCTAAAGAAGTGAGATTTGCGGGAGGGGTATCTTGCAGGTCTGCCTACATTCTCACCTCTCAGGCCTCCAAAGGTAGTTTTATTCGCCAAGCTTTATGCAGGTGGGTTATGCCAGATAGAAGCAAGAGAACTCTTTGTACTCTACTAGGGGAAAATGATGTTATGAATTCCCCTACTAGACACTGAATTAATCCCAATGGAATGAAAGTGCTATAACTGCTTTAAACCCAGGAAAAGCTTCAGTCACACTTTTACCCAGTTTGACAACAGGGAATGCAATTTTAAGGCACTAACTCCTAAGAAATTTGGTTTAATCATTTCACCACAGAAAATTTGCATTTCGGTTCTGTCAAATGGTGTTACTGTTTGAACACTCGGCTTTGTTGGCCTCATTTTTACTTTGCTCCATGATTTTGGGGTATTGGTTGCATCACTCCAGTACTAGGATTTTGGAGAATGCTGAATAATGAGGTCAGAAGGGTTGTTTTGAAGCTACTGTTTCATTTCTGTAGATCATATAATAGAGCTTTATGAGTTCTATGATTAGTCAAATCTGGGTTTCCTTAAGTAGAAGTATGGGAATACTGAATTGAGTTTGGGAGAGTTTTTCTTTGTTTTTCATACTGATTTTCTGTTTGTGTTGAATAAATTTCTAGAAATTCTCTTTTAAATTCCATGTTGATGGCTGTTACATGTCATGCTCATTAAGAAAAAATGCACAGCTCTTCATGTTCCTAATATTCATGTACATAGTATAAAATGATGAATTAATACAGGAAAATGTTGCATCAGATAGTAGCGGGTGTAAATCTCTATTAGATGTATTAATTCTGTGTTTAATGAATTCTCCTATGAAATGATGGATGTCTCTGTAGACAAACATATACTCCAATATTACTTGTTTCTCTTTTGTGGTATAGATTTAAACTCCATCCAGAAATAAAACAATTTTTTTGGGGGGATGACCACAAGACAAGATTAACACTCCATTTTTTGAATGTTTAAAGGCACCATAGATACTTCCAAAATTACTGGTGTGATATAACTGCGTATGCTAGTAGATCTTTTTGTTTTTAGAAAGACAGAGAGAGAAGTGGTTATTCAAAGGAAAACTGGATACAGAAGGTTTTAATCTGGTTCTGTCTCAGCAGAAACGTTAGATAACTTGTTTGTATCCAGTTTTCCAAAGCAATAGGTGAATGTACACCATTCTTTTTAATGGTCACCTCGTTTTAATACAACCCTATTTCTGCATGTATAGGTGGTTGCTGAACATCCAGATGCTTCAAGTGAGGAGATTGAAGAATTGCTCGAATCGCAGTGGAACATGCTTAGTGAAAAACAGAAAGCTCGCTATAACACAAAGTTTGCCATAGTGACCTCTCCCAAATCTGAAGAAGACTCTGGTAAACGTAAAACTGTGCTAGTGTACTCTAACTAAATTTGATATACATAGTGGCGTTAAACTAAGCACATATTTGAGACCTGTAGGGCAAACGGCTTTCACTGTTTTCCAGTTTTAATTCTTGGTGTTTGTGCCAATAGCAAAGGAATGCCAATGGTTACAATAAACACAACCCATGAAGTCTACATTTCTTGCTCATTGTTCTGAAAAGTTGTTATATGTAAACCTGCTGTTTAGAGATTGCTGATTTCTCATTCTTCTTCTGCCCATAAGCAGCTGCCATTGCATCCACTGACAGTTATGAGTGGATGGTGGGAAGGGAAGACGAAGTGTTGCTACTAGTAAAATTTGAGGGGTTTTCTTCATAGAATACTTAGGAAATGGTTTAAAAAGTTTAATCAGTGCTATACGTTTTCTTCATATATATCTAAAGTAATTACCTCATATCACCATCAACTCAGGAAGTATTCCAAACTTTATTCTGAAACTTTCATCCATTTGGCATTTTATTGTGCTACTCAAAGTTTGTAGGACATTGTACAAGATTGTAAATACTCTTTTTTTCTCTCTCCCTTTCTTTGTTGCTGTTGTCTAGCATTTGGGTTTGATAAACAGTCTCAATGATTCTGCAAAATATTTGAGGGGGTTTGGAGTCACTTATTTGAGAAAGAAGGAGGAAGGTAGTTTGGCATTTGCATGAACTTTTATAAAATTTAGCTATAATTGTTCAAATTTAAGTAGCTTTACAGCACTGTAAGAAGACTTACGATGGAAGTATTAGAAGCCAACAGGTGCTGCTTTGGGCAATGACAAGAATGAGAGGGAGTGTTTGAAAGTTTGTGAGACTTGGAAAAACTTGTATAAAAATGGCAGTCAGTTTTGTTAACTGTGTGTGTGTGAAATAACATCATTTTGTGGAAAACTGAAAAGTTTTTAACTTAAAATTTTAAGTGTTAAATATTTGGATATCAGTTTAAAAAAAAAACACATTCTGTATCTCTCAAGGTTCATCATTGAAGAATATTGGAGAGGCCAAACGTAAAGTGTTTCAAGACTCACCTAAAAGGAGATCAAGATCCAGAAGTAATTGAAATTTGTGTTGTGTGCAAATAGTTCATCATTATAAGTAGCTATTGAGTGTATTTTTTTATGTAATCGCCCACGTATCATAATCTCTTTATTTTTATCTCAGATGTTGTCTTCCTTGACGTTAGAATTTTAATGGATCCCAAATTAAATATCTAAACACTGTAGTGCTGAATTTTGTTCACCTTCCTCAGTGTCATATTGCAAGAAATGTAATTGAAATTGTACCTGTACCAGGTGTTTCTAGTACATATATTGTGTACATTTATAGTTATCTGCAGATGAAAACATGTCAGCTCAATTGTTCCCTACCCAGATCCTCTTACCTTAAACTTGGAAGAATATTGTGGGATTTCTTTTGCTGGCTTTTTGTAAGTAGCAGGTTCTCCTGGAGCCATTTCAGTCTGCTTTGTGGATTGAGAGTCTGATAATAGAGTATGTCCTAGATTGTTTAAGATAAGAACATTAATTTGAAAATTATCCATATTTTCAAGTTGCTATATTTTTTTATACTTACAGCCATTTGTTCCCACTGGAATAGAATGCTTGTAGCTGTAGGGCAGTTTTCAGTTAACATGTTTGTGCCCTTGGAGCTTGCTAATCTTCATGCTAATAATACTCTATAGCTTCATAAACTAGACAGTACTGGAGAGTGTAATAATGTTGTCATTTCAACCTGATGGAGCAGACCACTTCCTAAACCTTCATCTGTCTTTTTGAGGTAAAGTGAGTGCAAATAATAGCTGAACCTGTGGAAGGGGAATGTAGGTTAGTCACCGATGTTTTGTAATTTAGCAGCTGCTTGAACTTTACTGTGAACAATCACCTAAATACGTGAATAAGTCCGTTGGTTTAAAATGGCCAATGTGATTCTGTTCTTAGGATTTTGGTTCACAAAGGAAGGGGATCTTACAGTCTCCTGTGAAATATAAGTAAGCTTGTTAGAGAGAGTCTGGAACTGCCATATCAGGAAAAGAAAATTAATCTGTACACTTGGTGATATCTTATCTTTTCCAGAGGCCCCTTAATAGATGTCACCAGTATCTTCATCTCTATCATTTGGAGAACTTTAAGGACACTTAAGGAGGAGACTTAAAAATTCATTTCAGTGATAAGACACTATTACAAAGTGGGAGGAAAGTTAAAAGCTGTAGAGATCAATCGTGCAGTCTGACAATATGAAACAAATGTTGGGCAGTAAGATTCGGATCTTAAACTGGTGCTTATACAAGTAGCCTTTGTCTTTCTAAAATAGCTTGAGTATGAAGCAGTTGATTTGGTTGTGTTCTAGAGTTAGTCTTCAGCACCAGAAACCAGACCTTAAGCAATAAGAGGTCATTAAACTGTTGTTAATGTTTAACCATGTTTTAAAAATAATGACTGAAAGAAAAGTAACTTAAATAACCAGATCAGTTCAAAATAATTTGAAAGTGGGTTTTAGATTATTTTTCATGTAAGTTTCCCCATCCCCCATCCCAAGGTAACTTACATGGAAATAAAAGAAAACAAAAAAAGAGGACAAAGGAACCTACAGAAGATTTTGAAGTTCAGGAAGCACCTAGGAAAAGACTCAGGATGGATAAACAGAATAATCGGAAGGTAATTATGTTGTTGGTTTGTTTGGGTTGATTTATAGCAGCACCAATCACATTGCTGTAGTTAAGTTTGTCAGCATTTCCGTTTTCAGGGTTAAAACAGTAACCAAACTGTGGTAAATATTCAGAGATACATGTGAGCTTATTGCTGTGGGGTTTTTTCTTTGGGTTTGAGGACGGAGGTATGACAATTGCACTTGCTACTTAAAACTGTGGTGACAATGTGTGTTGAGAAAATCTCTTTCCCGAAGGAACATGCAGAGGCATGACCTTTCTGTGTTGTCATGCTGTGTAGTTCTTTTTCTTTCCTCCTGAATTGGGAGTTCAGAGATGTATACAGAGATGTAAAAAAGTATCTTTAGTCAATACTTGATTTAGACAATTGGGGGAAGGGGGAGAGGAAAACAAGCAAAGCAGAACAGAAAACCTACTTTTCAAGAACCGGAAGCCTATAGGACATTTTTGGGTGGCATGCTGACCCATTTCTTAACTTAAAAAGCTGCAGTAAATATTACAGTATAGTTATTGCACAAATCACGGCTCCTTCCTTTAGGTTGCTTGTGAGGATGAGGATTTGCTGTACATAGGTCACTAAAACTATGGACATGGATACAGCCCAAATCTTATAGAGACTTAAGCACAGGTTTATTTAGTCATGCATGTAGACTAGTGAACTTTATGGGTTTTATTTGTGTGGAAAACTCAGCTCAAGTGTTTTCAGGTATGTTATCATACTGTAGTGTATCACGGACCTCATCTCAGGACTTCAGTAGTACTGTGATTAAACGAAATAACCTAAGATAAGGAAAGGTAGTGGATTTATTTTTAAATGAATTATGGAGGCCACATATGTCAGTTGGGTAGGCTGGTTATATCTGTTGGTATCGTGGGTATTCAGACAACTTGTCTAGAGTTCAGTATAAGAATAAAGAGCATTTCAGATAGCCAGGCTTAAGGCACAAAGGTAATTCTTACAGAAGTGTGTTTACTTTGCAGAAAGAAGGGCCAAAACTAGCTTTTGCTCTTCTTGCTCTAATGGGTTAGTTGTTAAATATTCATCTCATATCCTAGGAGAATTTTTTGGGTCCTTTTTAAACTTCTCTCATTGAGGTGCATTCACTGTAATACACGAGATCCATGGAATCATTAAGTTTACGTATTGTAATTAATTCCTGCTTTGAAGTCCCTGTTTTGCTTGCCCCTAAAGTTACTTCTTTACTGTCCCACCAGCATTTGTACACGATGGTTAGCCTACGTTATCCCAAGTAGGATGAAAGGTGGTTGTAGTATATTTCATGCAGAGGAAGTTCTGGTATCTTTGATGCTGTGGCACAGGTGTGACTATTAACAGGAAAACACATGAGATTAATTATTTCCAGAAGGTGCATACCACTAATAACGCTGACTTAGTAATGTGCATTTAAAAAGTGTTGTCCTCTATCTGGTTCGTTTATCAGAACTAGTTAGAAGGAATCTGGTGTGTGTAAATATCAGGTAATTTGGAAACATTAAATGCAGATAGCAGTGTTTGTGCTTCTGTCCACAGAAGGGTTCAGATACCGTGGAATTGCTGCTGCGTGGTTTCTTTTATGGTTTATCTCTTAGTCTTTCTCCTACCTTCACCAGCCCAGGGTACTTCTAGTATGTGCTGCTGCTTAGTAAAACATTTAGTGAATGACGGTGAAAATGTCTGTGTAATGATTCAAAAAAGCAAACTAACGAAGCACCTTCCTTCTGCTATTCCCAATTTACCTACAGGCTTTTGTTACAGTCGTTTTGGATAGGAGCAGCTTTAATGACTTGTTCTCATTACGTTTTACTTCTTGCATGAGAGTCGTCCTCTCCTTTTTGTCCTTAATTCTCATGGACAAAATCTGAATGTTCTCACACAGAGTAACTAAGCCATAAGTACCCATATGGAAGTCTTGAAAAACTAATTTGCTCATTGGTGCTTTCATGATGTATGTAAAATGCACATTAACAAAATGGGGGTTCTGTAAAGCATGCTTTAAATTTAAGAGTGAACTATACTGTACATTTGCTTTCGTTTTTACACAGAAGTGTAACAGTAATCTTTGATACTGGGAGCCTCCTGTGGCAGTAGTGGTAGGGCATGTTATCTACTGAGAAGCCAGTAAAAGCACAGTGTAGCACATCTGTGGTACAGTAGCCATTCATATTTACCTTTACAAAGGAAACCAGTTCTCTGGCCTTTTGAGGTGTTTGCCTGCACATCTTTTGTAAAGCTGCATGTCAGATGAAGAATATAAAAAGTATGTAAAACCTTCTGTTCAGTAGGATTATTCTTACGGCTTAAGTGAGCATTTGTCAGGGTAAGCATTCTTGGCTACAATTTTGGTGACGTTACTTGAATGAATGTATAAAGTACAAAAAGGAAAAGCATAGTGACATGTGTAAGGGACAGAGTGTAATTTTGACAAAGCTTTGACAAAACCTTCCCGAGTTTTCGGCCTAAACTTTTAATGGTAAATTCTCCATCTGGACCAAATTTATGCTCCCTTGAAAATAGTGTGTTTTCTTTTGGAAATGCTGAAACAACCTTAACCATAGTAATTTAAACCATGGCACTGCTATAAGTTGTGGAATTGAAAGCAAGCCTCTCTGAGATGTAAAATTCTGCACAGGGTTTATTCTCAAATTGATACACTAATCCTGCAGTTTACCTTTGATAATTGAAGGTCTTAATTTGAGCAGTTTAGACAAAGAATAGTAAGGATAATTACCTGTTTTGTGTTCATTAAGAGCTCCCCTGTTGGTATGCCGAGTTTGGGATGGATAAGCGGGATGCTGGAATACTGTGTTCTTTAATTTTCTCCTTTGTTTACGGGTTTGTACCCTGTGCTGTAAATGAGTTTTAAAAATCACTTAAATGGGGCTAGCTTAACTACGTTACCATTCAGATATTTGTAAAGACATTTTCTTTTTAATAACATAAATCCAGAAGTAATTGCCAGTTTTATCCAACCACTCATAAATTAGGAGTTTTTTTATTTTTTCATATTTTTTTTTGTGACAGAGGGAGACAAGCAATGACAAAACAGCCAAAACAAACTCTTCTAAGGTCACAGAAACCTCCTCTTCACAAAAGAACCAGTCAGGTAATGTGGTCAGAATAAGTTTTCATGTCACTTTTTCAGTTAAATAACTTTAAAATAAACAGGTTGTCTGAGGCAGCAGCTAAATTTTGCTGATGCCAGAACCAGTTACAGCCGCGATGCCACAGATGGGGCGGGGGGACGTGCCCTCTTCCTCCACTACCACCATTTTGCAGCGTTATACTTGACTGAAATTGTGTATTGCTGATTTGGAGCAGCAGTTCACAAGTTCACCATTTGATGGCACCAAATTAAAGCTATTGCCCTGTGATCTTGACAAGCAGTGATGCAAATCCTACTGCTTCAATCTGTCATTGTGCATTAGCCCCAATAAAACAAGTGCAGTGACCATCAATGTAATCAGTTACGTTCTGATTTTAGTCCTTTTAAATGATGCTTGATGGGAGGCAGTGTGGAGCGCAAGAGGGAATTCTAAATAACCTTGGACCAAAACCCAAAAGTTAGACTTGTTAATGATGCTCAAGGTTAAGGTAACTTCTGTGGGAGCATGTCTCTTTAGGTACTACAATGATTTGCTAAAGACAAGTAAGCTTCAGCAGGTTCTGCACAATGTAGAAGTGGGAACGTGCCGTAGATTAATGTCTGGTACCTGGCTCCAATATATAACTTTTAACAAAGCTTTAGTGGTACTCAGATTGTGGTAAGATCATGTAGGCCCTATAATGTATATCTGAGGAGATAACTGTTACCTCTGCTTTAAAGAGGTTGTAAGTCACAAGATATTTTAATAGAAATAAGCTTTGGGAAAAAATTCCGTAGCCATTTTAAGTACTTATTTGCTTGATAAAAACCTCTTTATTTTTAAAGTCAAGCCAAAATACAAGGTTTCAGAAATTTACTTCATGTTCTCTCAGCCCTATGTAGGTGCCCAGAAGACCTACCTAAATCACTCCTTCCTTTATCTGAAGGAGTATTTTAAATGGCTTCAGGGAGATAACGTTTTAAAGTTCCAAACTTCACTTTGTAAACCAAAATTATTTTACAGCAACGAAAAATCTGTCTGATGCATGTAAACCTCTGAAGAAGCGAAATCGGGCTTCAGCAGCAGAATCTTCAACTCTTGCTTTTAGCAAGAGTTCATCTCCTTCAGCTTCCTTAACTGAGAATGAGGTAAAAAAAAAGTGGTGTTTGCACACAGCCATTTAATTACAAAAATTATCAGGTGTGAATCTTGTTTAAAAACACAAAAATCAAAGGCGAATTCTCTAACGTTGGTGCTCTAGACAAGTTACAGTTTTGGCCTCTGTGAAACCTGTTAACGTGTGCATTGCAAATTCATTTATTGTAATACAAACGTCTGATTTGGGGACGTCGAGATATTATTGTGGTTTTTAATGTATTTACCAACAAGGTTTTAGAATTGTAACCTTCTATTAGAGGCAAAGTAAAATGCCAGTGTGTTCTGTATTTTCTTCTACAGACTTTATGTAAGTGTACTACATTAGTTACATTATGTAACTCAATATTGTCATGTTGCCATAGCTTTTATATTGAAGCAAGTTTCTTAATCCTCTATTTGATTTAGAACTGGACAGTTTTCTGAGCAGAGCCCCTTTAAGCTCAAATTAGTTTTCAGGCTGTTTAAGCGCTATTTCTCTGTGATGCAAATAGCTTCATCCCCAGTAGAGTTAAACAGGCAGTGAAGGATGTATCTTTTTGATACTTACTAATCATAGTCTTAGCTCTGCATATTTGGAACTGTAATTCTTCTCAATTGACATACAATAAATGAAATGTATGTACCAGAAGTGTATTCATATAATCCATGAAACCATTCCCCAGGTCATCTACGCTATTAAAACCAATCAGCCAAAGAGTGGCAGCATGAGGGTGAAGTATGCATGCTGTTTTGCAGGTGGATTCAGAAATTTAGTTGGTAGGATTTAGTAAAATATCCATAGACAAACAGCTTCAAGCAGTTTGTATTACAAAAGCTGTAGAGAAAATACTTTCCTGCTAACAAGGGAGTAGGGCTTCCAGCTAAGCTAGAGACTCTTTCATCTTCCCTAACGAAACGCATGAGGTGCTTAGACACTATAATAATGAATGCAGTTAAAATATCTAGACAATATTGAGTAAATGGTTTACCTTTGGGTGGGGAAAAAAGGTTGCATGTTAATGGCTGTATATCTTACTGTAACAGGAAAAATATTCTAACCAAAACCCCCATAAACTCTCCCACCTGTACCCCAATACAAAGCAAGTCCTACGGGAAATAATGTCCATAGCAGCAGTCAAGTAAAGTAATACTTGTTCTCATTTTGTTCTCTCAGTTGAGAGACTCCCATCTGTTGGCCTACCAACTTCTGCTCTTTTGGCTTTACTCCTGGGACTTGCTGTTTGTACTTGGGACCATCTATTCAGCCAGACCAGTTTAAGAAACATACTGTCTTTTTGGCTCTAAATATGCATCTCTAAGTATTACAATTTCTGGAGAAAGATTCTTCTATTTCTAGATAGCGTGTCTCTAAAATGATATCTTCAGAAATCTTTCTCGACAAAAGGTCAATTTTTGTAGGATTTGGGGTTATTTCTTAATGGTTTACATGTAAAAAAGGATATGGTTATATAGGCTGAGGTGGGAATTTTAGAACTTGGCTTTTAATTTACTCAGCTACTGCTAAACAGCATAAAATGTGAGAACAAGTAACATCGTACACGGCTCAGAGAACACAAACTAGAAAATTAATTGATTTCAAAGGTTTAAAAGGTTTTAAAATATCAAAACAATCCCAATCAAGATAACAGAAAATACACTGTCAAATATCAGAGATTTTTGCAGGGCTAGGTGCAGGCGGGGGGAGTAGATTAGTGGGGCCTAGATCCTTAGATAGTCTAAAGCTACGCTGACCTCAGCTTGTGCCAAGTAAGGGTTGGACCCAGTTTGTTTCCTATGATATTAGATATATTTGCCTTTGAATAAAACAAAAATGTCAGGCATGTGTTTCTGAACTTGCTGTTGATCCATTCTACAAAAACCCAGGAAATACATAAGTTTTGGGTTGTGTGGGTGGCTTTAAAAACTTTTTTTTTTTCCCTTGTGTATATTACTTAGCACTTGTCTAAATGGCTAAATGTGTGTGTGCCCTGAGAGCGTACATCCAGAGAGGAACCTTCTCCAGAGTCTTATGGGAAAGCGTTTAAAAAACAAACACAATCATGCAATGATGAAAGCTTTGCACAGATAATGGAATAGGATGTAACTCTTCTCAACATTAAATACATTTGGTGATTAACTTTTATATTTCTGTGTTCACTATAATACTCCTAAATGTTGAGTTAGATGCTCTCTTAACAAAGACAGAAAAGGTTCTGTATATTCCACAAGCACATACACCTCCACAAGCAATACTAAGTGGATTCTGGCCGCCTTTTCCTTTCATTTCCCCCCACACTATCTGTGGACAGCTGGTTCCAGAATGGAACCTGGATATGACTGTTATTTGCCAAGGACTGTTGCTAGCTGCACACCTCTTACATCTCAGCCCATTGCAACTAAGTTCTAGGAAAGCTGTGTACAGTAAGAAGGGTGTGCTTGGTTTTTTTCTCGTTTGAAAGATGCGACTTTCTTGACCTTTTAAAAAAGTACTATTTTGGATGCTTTTTGTTGTTATTGGGGATATTTTTTACTAGTGTTTATTTGAAATACTACATAATCAGTTGAGGCCAGATTTTCAATTGATAAGTTACTTTGGGTATGTAATTTACAGAGGATAGAAGCGGGGTGGGGGTTCTTAAGAGCAATCAAACATTTATAGACTTGATGTCATCAGAGATTGAAAGGTAGACTTTCACTCCCTTCAAAAATTGTGCTTGGAACTTGTTTTAAGATGGATGGGCAGAAACAGGGAAGTGTTACACATGAATAAATAAATTTTATACCTGCATTTAACCTTGAAGTGAAATACTTAATTTTACTTCTAGGCACTTGACATCAGTAGTCGTTTCCCCCAGTACTTCATGTCAAATGTGACTCTGTTTAAAATCTAATTCCTAAAGAGCAACTGGTAGGTCAGATGTGAGAAAGATACTCAACACTTCGAATTCTCCAAAAGCTTGGAGTAGCAGACTAGTTTTTTACTGCCTATGTCAAACATGGTGTAAGCATCCAAAAGCTCATGATGTTTGTGAGAAGAGATACAGGTGATATGTTCCTGTTTCTTTTTTTACCTCAGCCCTCCACCCCCAATAATGTAGTAGGTGCCAGTAAAGAGTGTAACCAGTATTTTTTTTACCAAATAAAAAAGGCTTTACATTACCATTACTGCTGGATTATTGGCACACTGTGTGTGTTTGCATGAAATATATCTGCTTTAGCTCTTCAATTCGTTTTTATGGTTCTTGGCTGGCTTCATTAGGCTGGATGGATTTGTTGACAGCAGATAAGTGTCATGGTATCCTGCAGAGTCTAGATATTACTTCTGAACTTTGTCAAAGAAATGGTAACTTTTTTCTGAGAGAGGACAAAATAAAGAACATGTAACACTCAATTCTTAGCTAGCCTGTCATTCATCATACCCTCATGAAGTATGAGCTGACCAGCAGATGGCAGTTTAAAGAAGCCTTTAAAGAGGTTTTGGGAGGTGGTGTTTTTATCGGGAGTTCCTCCTATCTTCTGTAGAGGGAATTCTTTCTGTAACATCCAGTGTTAAAGCAAGCTCAGTTGCTGGTTCTAGTTACAACTTCTTGTGTTTCCAAGGCCTAATAATGCAAGTTACAATAATGCAAGCCTTAAGTTTTGCTCTTTTTCTGCATATTGAAGAGTAGGGTTTTTTTCTCATTACTGATTTGAGGCAGATTTGGTTTATTTGCTTTTTTTAATGGGTATTAGCATGTATACACAATGGAGAAAACACCTACCATTCTTAAAAGGTAAGGTATTTGATTGAGAAGGCAGTCATGAGACATGTACAACTTGCAACTGAAAAAGTATGTCAGCTCCATTTGTTGACACTGGAGTTTAGTTGTCCTACAGTACATAACTGAAATATTTTAGGTATGCTTAATGAAGGTTAAAATAACTGTCTTTGAGATCCTAAGAACAGGAAGGAAGAGAGGAATTAACGTTATTTTAAACAAAGTACTGGCCTACAGCAAAAATAGCTGAAGCTAACCTTGCAGGTTGTTAAAGAGAATCAGTGTGCTCCTAGCGTTCCATTCGAGCTTGCTGGGAGGGTAATTTTCTCTTCAAAACAATACTTAAGGGTAGTATAATATATATATAGTGCCACCTTTAATCCTCTGACTTAGCAGACAGTGTTTCCTGTGTTTGTTTCTGTATGCCTATAGATTTTCTTTTTGTATTTCTTCCCTGTTCCAAAGCACCAGTGAGCAGTCAGGGGTACGTTTTTGTGGAACACTGCAAGTTATTGGACTTGTGTCTTGCTAAACCTCTGCTAAAGCCTCTAACAATTGAAATGACCTGCATCACCCACCAGATCATACAGTTCGGTTACTATGCTTCTACTTTCACATGGAAAAAAAGTTCTAGGCTTGACTCTTGTTCTTTGGCAGCACGTTCTGTGTAGAAAATTAAGTTTCTTTATGTAATTATCCTCACCTTATGTATTACTTAGGCTTCAGAGTGCAGCGAATCTGTTTACTGAATGTTTACATGATGTAGGTTTTTATTCCACATCCCCTACCAAAGTATCATGAGTATCTGTAGGCAATTTTATCATGTTTTAAAATGTTCTCATAGTTTGAATTAACTTTCCAGGCAAATTCAGAAATGCATACTATCCTTATCTGAAACGTCTAACTCCTGCTAATAATAAAAATGAAACTTGTCCCAGGCCGTCTTTTTTGCTCTTACAGTACTGTGTACACTTGTGGCACTGCATACTTAAAGAATTTATCTAGTCTAGCAGTTTGGGCCAAAATACCATTCTTCATTCAGTTCAGGAATTCTTATACTGAAATAAAGGAAATGTTAACTGTAACTCAATTGGCTCTGTCAGTTTTTCTGTCTCCGTGTGGGTGCACGATAGATTGTCTTTTGAATACAGTCTGACCTGTTGTTTGTATGTTGCTTGTTGACTTACTCTCCTTTAAGTTGTGCTTAGGTTAAAATAAACCCAACCCTTTAGCCACCGAGATTTTGTTAAGAGGGGAAAAAAAAGGCAGTTGGGGTTTGTCTGTGGAAAGGCTAAAGAGTTTGCTTATCAGAACATGCATGCTTCAGCCTCTCTAAAGAAAGCTCTTGACCAGACCACTTCCTCCTGGATGACTGGTACAGCAATCACTGACTCTAAAGTCATGTCAGGGAGCCTGAGCTTGTAGCAGTGTCCTTAATTTTAAACAAAGTGAAATTTAATAGCCAATAGCATTTAGAAGTCATGGAAACATGCTTCTAAAATGCGTTCAGAAAGATGCAGTGTATCTGTTAAAGATAGCAGATGACCTGAAAGAGGATGCCACTTAACTCACTGAGTGTCTTTGACAACTTGGAAAGAGGGACAGGTCCCTCTTTGTGGGCCCTTTCTTTGATGGATCCTGCTGATCCTGCTGTGGAGGTGACTTCCCTTCCACTTTTTGGTAGGCAATCGTTTTCTGCCGTGCCTTGTTTTCATATTATATACCCCTAGCTTTAAAATAAGTATACACAGTGGATTTTTTTTTTTCCATTTGATGTTCTACAGCCAGGATTATAAAACAAGAGATGCTCAAGTATAACAGGGGGAAGTGGGAGAGTTAACTTTTTTGGCTCTGGAAAATTTTGCCCTTTAGTTGCTTTTATAGCTGCTTAAGCACAACGTGACAGAAGAACACTGTTGTCT